TGGTCCAAATCACAAAAGAATGCATCTGACATTCATCATGACTGCCCTATCTGCCTCAAGAGAGAAGAGAATCTTGAGGCTGTAAGATGAGCATTTTTCCGTAAGTATCTTGTGCACTTGCAACATAAAAGAAGCAATTGTCTGGGATCCAATTTTCACCAAGACGGGGAAAAAAGGCTTGGCTGGTGGAATAACTACTTATCTAAGGGGGCCAGAGTTATGTTGCTAATAGCTTTTGAACCTCTGCATTTATTTCCCACCTCTCTTTCCTGGACATAGTAAAGTTGCAAAGAGAATTGAGGGCATTCAATGTGGGGACACATGGACCAGAATAGGATATACCATCCTGGGTGACTTGGAATCATCTGAAAACTCCTCTCAGGAATGGCACATTGATTATCAGATCATCTGGGAAGTTAAAGAATGCCTTGTTGGCCAAGTGGAAAAAGCATTTTGTCTCTTGAATGAACCCTCTATGGTGGGTACTGCAAAGGGCCAAATTTGGCTCTTTTACTGATTACCCAATTCTAAACCTAGCAAGGGCATTTGCAGGTTTTGCCCCTAGAATTTGATTGAGAGTATCTTGCCTGACAACAGCAGTCTTGTTTGATTTAAAGTAGGAACTAGTAATATGATTAACTTTTGGAATAATAATTGGAATTATGGTATATCTCTGAAAGAGAACTTCCCTTCTCCTTCCTCCATTGCTCATCATAACGAGGCAAGGGTTAGGGAATGTCTTGAGGTGTCAACTGGTGGAGTCTATTGGAGTAAACTTGACCTCCAAAACCTAAATCATCAGTAACTGGGCCTCTCTTCTTGACAGGGTTGAGTACTCCAATCCATGCTTCACTCTCCTGACTTTCAAGTGTTGAAATTGAGTTTCCTATCTTATATACCATTAATAGACTGATTCAGAGTTATTAGTTTGATGAGTTGAAACTGAGTTTGAGATACAGAACATATCAGAACATTAAGTTCATACTCGATGGATGATTCATGTAAGGAAATTAGTTAAGTAAAAAGTTAAGTATCCAAATTACATTAATTGAAAAGTGTTGCTCAGAAAGGGAGGCATACTAGGACCAATTGCCGCTGCACAGGTTTACTAGGAAAATTCACCAGCATAAATACCACGGCAACAGCAACGAAGGGGAGATTAATCCTCACCCAGATTCTGTTATATTTGATTGACAGAGAAGTAGAAAATACTTGGGAGTTCTGACCACTAAAACCTTAAGCACCAGAATCAAAACAAAACATGATCTAAGAATTCTAGAGTCATAATAGCTAACGATGATTAGCTTTCCTATAACGATGATTAGAATCAAAATAACCGTTTCTTTAGTTTTAAAAAAGAAGAGGAAGCTTCATCATCTCTCTCATCCCATATAGACAATAACCACATGAGGGAAGGCCTCAATATCTTCATATACATATATATATATAATCCTCATAAAAAAGGAGAGAAAGAATAAACAAAAAACAAAGGCAATTGGTTAGACTATCTCTAAACTCAATAAGTTGAATCCAACGCAGGAAAAAACAAATAGATTATCAAGCAAAAAGTGGGGAAATGTTATGGTACTTGTAAGACACCATAGCTCCAAGGTATAGAAGTAGAACCACTGGATCAAGTAGATAAAATAAAATATGATTGAGGATTCCAATTGAACACATCAAAGGTCAAAATGTTATTTGTTTGACCTAATGGTTTTAAGCTTCAAGGAAATGTAACTCCAACATCCCAAACAATGAGATCTACATTATGTTTTACGTACGAGAGAAGTTAAGAAAGGTATGTTGGCAATCCTAACTTATTATAGCCAATTATTCGAAACCTATGTAGTAATGCTTTAGCACGTTCAAAGTGAATTCAACATTAAGTAAAAGTGTTTTGGAATATAAAAAGGGAAATCAAACTTAAGGACTCCTATAGTCATCCTTAAATTGGTAAGCCATCAAAACACCCCATTTTCAGCTCAGATCACAGGTATAGATAAATTGCATATTCAGAAAAACAATAACTATTAAACCTAAGTTTTCAAATCTAAAAAGGCTAAGAAATGAAGCAACCCAAGTTACCTGAAACTCTACCATCATCTTGACTCAGGCTTCTGGAGCAAAGCAGTCAAGTAAACTTCACCATTCTTCAACCCACTGGAATCGTTCTTGTCACTCACAGCCCACTTCACTTTCTTGTAACCTAGCTTCCCAATTAACGGTCCATAAACCTTTTCGAGATCCACCTTTTTGCCAAAGAACCGATCGAACCACAAAAACCCCCCTCCCCGCAACACCCTGTCCACATCAAATATCAAGAACTCCATCATCGTCAACGGTATCCACCGATTGATGGCGCGGCCGCACCGCACCAGATCCACCACTCCGTCGAATACCGGCAGCCTCTGCTGCAGAGGTACGTGCAGCGGCACCAATCCCCTCAAAGCCACAGCCTCACTGTAAGGAGCATTCAAATTCATAGTAGTGGTCAAGACAGTGACGTTGTACAGCTTCATTCTGGCGGCAAATGACCCCGTGCCCCCTCCAATATCGATTCCGAGACGAATAACAGAGCCAGCGGATTTGGAAATCTGCAGCAACTGCGGAATCGGGAGATCCAGCTCGGAGGAGTAAGTTAAAAAGCGAGACGAGGTTTTCTCGAGAGAGAAATCGAAACCTAGGTTAGGATTCTTCGATACCAGGCAGTTAAACGATTTGCAGGAATACTGGTTCCATATAACGTTGGAATCCGGAAGCGAGAGAGGGAAAGGATCAAGAGGAAGAGAAGAAGAAGGCTTGGGCGGGGTTCGGGAGAAGCATCGTCGGCGAGGAAGGGGATGACATCCTCGGAGAATGAGAGATTCCGCGAGGTCGGAATCGAGTGGACAGAGTGAGAAAGGAGTGTAGGACATATACTTGTGGAGAAGATCAGGGTGATGGTGGCAGGAGGAAGCAATAGGGGAGAGATGAGAATAGAGAAGGAGATCTGGAGGGACGATGGAAGCAGTGGTGGGAGCTGTAGGTTTCTCCGTGGCGGTGGATGGATGGTGGCGCGTGAAATGGTTGATGGCAGCGCGTATGGTGTGGAGCTGGTGAAGGAGATGATCAGGAACGAGTTGAGGAGAAGGAGGAGGGTTTACAGGCGATTGAAGGAAATTATTGGTGGAAGAAAGATGGTAGAGGGAGAGAATATTGGTCGCCACCATGGCTAACAACAGTACCATGTTCAATCCCATTGTGAAACCCATTACTTCTTCTTCTTCTTCTTCTTCTTCTTCTTCTTCAGTTTCTTCTCTTTCCTGTTTCCAAGTCTCCAGTCCACTACTGTACTGTCATGAATTTTGGAAGACGGAGCCTTCTGCTACTCTTCTGGAACTGAGTTTGACTCCCGAGGTCTCTCGTCACTCTTTCTTCTTCTTTTTTCTTTTCCTTCCAGTCGGTGTCAAAGTAATTCTGTCTGATCCGAATTTGGACCGTTTGATTGTGATCAGACGGCTATGGAGAAATCCAGAAATATGTAGATTTGTGGGAATCTAACGGAGGAAATACACGCCAGAAAATCCCAGATTCGGTGATCTTATTTCTTCCCATGCGAATAAATGAATGGAAAAAAAACAAGGTTAGTCACGTGAACACAGGACTTAAACCAGTTGACTGTATTTAACAATTTAATTAGTCTATTAATAGAGATTTCGCATATTATTATATAAATTTAATATGCTGTATCAGAATACTATAAATGATTAGGTTTCAACAAATTACAAATTGATTTTGTTTAATTTAATATGTTAGTTGGGTTTAATTTGATTTTGTTTAATTTGGTACTTTACTTTTTTACTTACTCCATTTAGTAGATATAATATATAAATTGAACCAACGACAAACCATTTATGCTTTTCGCTACCATTTCAAATCTTAATCACAAAAGGAAATTTTATGAAAAACAAATTTAGTACCAAACAATCATAATTACATAATCTTCTAACTCATTTGTATTCGCCAAAAAGGTTATAATAAATCACTCATGAGTTCCGGTATTCACGTGCTCGGAGATATCTATGAACTTTATTTTAATTTCGATCAAAATTATGTTCAATAAGTAAATAGATAAATAAATGAAAGGCCAAGAAGAATCCGATAATTCCCGGAAAAATTTGAGTGTTTAACCATAAAAATTGCATAAGCATTGAATCTTTGTCTATTCGACAACATAATACAAGAATCTACATTTTTTTCATTGACTGACCCAAAAGGGTATTAGAGAAAAAAAAAAGAAAAAGAATATGATGGAAAATTGCAATATTGAAAAAAAAAATTATCATTTTCCCCCACCAAAAGAATCACCTTACTATCATTTTCCCTGTCCCGCAAGTACTTTGAAGCCAACCTCTATCTGATTCTAGGCACACAAATGGAGGGTGTTCTCGCTGGAAGTCTTCCGAGATGCTTGGCTTGTAAGTAAATTTCCGAAAGCATCTTTGAAGTCCTCTTATTTTACCTGACTTATATTTCCTTTGTGTTACCTCATCCGAAAAACTTGTAGCAGCTTTTTTCCGGTTTTTACTTGTCACGCCTGCTTTGATGAATTGTTAAAGAACAGATAAGAGGGAAGAATGTTCAATGAGTTCAGCAGTAAAAAAGAAAATGGCAGATCCTCAGGATGGAACGCTAAATGCATGATCAGTATTTAGTGATAAAGTCTTAAGATCGTCTTGGATTGTGATTCATGAAAATACTTGTCGCGTAAGAATTTAGGGGCTCACCGCAGAATGAGGGATCTGAAGAAGAATGAGTGAGATACAATATAAACACACTGAGATAGCAGCCCCCGCTAGAAGATTATGTAGGAGCCGTTTATTGTCTTTTGTTGGTACAAAAATGGCTTTGAGAGCGTTGGTTAACTCAAACAGCCGATGAGATACCTAAAGAAATTATACAAAAGTCAAAACAATGTAGAGTCAACATTTGCTTAAATTGTTAGTTTTTTTACCAAATTTTGTAGTTAATTAAAGATTCAGAATCTTCCCTCCACTAAAAAACACTGGAGGGCCTAGAAACACTTACCAAGATATAAATTGCAGTTGTCAGCATGAAGTTGAGCAATGGATATTCTGGGATAATAGAAAGGAGCCACTTAGGTTGTCCATTGGGTATGTTCGATCTGCACATAAATGTTCAATAGTAACATTTACCATTTTCAGTAATTCTCTAAAAACTCCTTCACTTTTTGGGTTATCAGGAAGTTATGGAGAGAGCCAGAGATGGTAGCAAGAAAAGAAAAAGGTATAGCTCAAAATTGATTTTATTAAGGCAAGAAAGGAATTATGGAATAAACTCAATGAATGAAGCACTATACATTTTATAATTTAAACTGACCTAACTCCATGTGGGAGAAAGGGAAGTAGGTAAAGAACTCAAGAAATGAAGCATAGAGAAAGTTAAAACTCGTAATTATTATTATCCCCTAAAAATATGTAATTTCCCATTGTTCAATAATAGCGAGGAAAAAGACAAATAGTTTGCAAACAATAATCAATTGGCCTACAAACCTCAACCATATATGAAATTGAGAAATATATGTCTCCAGAGTTATCTTCCCAAGCCATCTACAAAAAAATAAATGCAAGTAGGGGCCAATTAGAGCAAGCACCTAATTGTGAATGAAAGTTACCTAAATTGGGTTCGGGGACAATTCACCAACCACAATAGGTGAAATGACTAAATATTGAAGGTTCAAAAAACATACGCCAAAAGGGTCAAAGAGACATTCCGAAGCTGCTGGGTGAAATTCCTCAAGCAAATGTAAACACTGGAATCACAGAAGATAGCTGCTTATAGTCAGATATTTGATAAAGATTATTATCAAATATATCCATAATCAAGTTTGAATAAAATGAACTTCTTTATACTAACGTTATGGGAATCCATGATGTGTAGGGATGGTACTTGTTGTAAGTCACCTTATCTAGCTTATAAATCCATTCATACCACACATAGCCGACCTAAATGTAAACCAACAGCAACCAATAAACCAACCGGGAGCCAATTTTGAGAATAATTAGCAAGCAAAAAATAGTACTACTACAGCTACAAAATAATGGAAACTTACAAATAAAGAAACCGCCACTATGCTTGTTTTGATTGAGAGCTTTCTCTTAGTTTCACATTCCTCCAATTTCTCCATCCATTTCTCTACCTGAGAAATTTAGGTCTTAAAAATTGGTTATTGGCACTCAGAAAAAGAAGATCGTCCAGAAAGCATAACAAATATTCAAGACATTACAGTGGGGTGAAAATAGGCATATATCATTCCAATTATCCATATATAGCGATCAAGCCCAGATCTGAAGTGCCACTCATGCAACTGAGAAAGATCAGGTTTCGCAGGATCAGCATACCCTGCCATTTTTTAAGAGAGAAAAATTCAGTCAGAAAGTAAATGTGTACTTTGTGATCTTGGAATTCACCTTAAATCAGTCAAATCTAATACTGAATTTCATTTATCTGATTAAAAATGCAGCAGAGCCCATGGCAAGTAGTAAGTTCGATATGAATCTAACCAAAAGGAAGCCAACATGGGGCCAATCTAAAATGAATATGAGAAACTCCAACAGAAAAGGAACTAAGGAAATTCAAGAAGAGATTGGAGACCAAACAACATGCAAGAATTCAACTAAGATTATGGATAAAATATAACTGTGGGTATCGATAGTCTGACATTGGAGCAAATCACAAAAGAAAAGGTATAGAGGTTCCTGACCTAGTATGAATGTCAATGGACCCCAGAAGATGTCAAAAACTCCAGGGATTTCCCAAATCAAGATAACCACAAGAAAGCATGAAACGATCTTTACAGCCATCACTGATCCTATCTCATTATACTTGCTGAAAACACCAAGGGCTCCATACACCATTAAAGTGAAAAGTGTATGCATCGGGCAGATGTAGTATAGCATATAGTCATTGTTGAGAATAACACAGCAAAATGCAACAAAGAAATTAAGTCGCCACATCATCTGCATTAAATAAAAGATTTTACAGGCATCTGGATTAGAATATTAGTGAATTCATATAATGGACTGATCGAGTAATATAACTGCCTAGAATTAGTAAAATCACCTGAGCAAACCGTGCAGTAGAGAAATCCTTTCTAACATAATAATAAGAGAAGTTCCCAAATCCAGTCATCCAGACATATGCAGCAATAAAGATTCGTATAGCATTGTATATCTCCGCAGCAGCAAAGTAATGATACATTAAAAACAGAACCTGTTACGACACAAAGACATGTATTGGCACAGAGGTGCTAATAACAAACAGAAAATGAAAATAAAAACTAGCAAAATAAACACGTTTCGAGAAGATCTAGAAAAGGAAAACATTAAGAAAGACAGTTATTTTTTCCTAGCAATGGCTTGTCACAGTAAAATCCTAGCCAACCAAAAGGAAAAAGATAAATGCGCCACAGGGGTCAAATAGAGAGAAAGGGAGTTGAGTAGTATCCCGTCATTAGTCTTTGTCTTTGTTTAATTGTTTGTTTGTTTGTTTATTCGTTTGATTGTTCTTTTGCAAGGGCAAGGCCCTTTCTGTCGTTTGAACCAAAGCATCATATCTTGTCAATAGTTGAATGGATAAACAAGAAAAGTAGCAAAGAGAAAAGCAACTAAGAGTTTCAACAAGTTCGAGTATATCTTTATGATAATTAACGTAAAAAAAACCACCTTTTCACAAGTTAGAATCTTT